AAAATTTCTTCAAATATTTTTTTTTGTGGGGGGGGGGGTTAATATTCAACAGCATAGCATAGTGTTTTGCACAAAAGAAAAAAAAAACGGGTAAACTTTTTTTGGGGGGAGGGGGAGGGGGGTGGGGCAATTCACAACAGCAAAGTGTATTGCACAAAAGCAAAAAATTGAATATAAATTCAAATCATATAACCAATTTTAAGTTCTTTGACTAGACTTATTCTGTGTCAGAAACCTATTATGTGTCAGAAACCTATCATGTGTCAAATATTTAATTACAATCCAAATTCAGATCTGTATCAAGCGTGAATAATGTGTCCATTTGGCTGCAACTTTTCAGGGTTGGACATCTGCGCTCGTATCCAGCTGCGCTCAGCAAAGCAATTTATCTTAAACTATAAGCAATAGGTCAACTATATTTGGTGTATTGAATGATTGTAAGGTGTATATATCTGTCTGGCAGGTATCATTTGACGATGACCTCCTTTTTAGCTCATGTGAGCTTATGCCATCACTTGGCTTCCGTCATCGTCATCTGTCGTCGTAAGGCCAAAAATAAATAATTGTTTGTTTCCCCAAACCCGACCCTATCAAGTCAGGTGTGGGTAGGTAGGTAGGTAAATTATTTTATTTTTTTGGTAAATTTGTTTTTTTTGGTACTTGTAAATAGGAATTTACAAACCATCATTATAGGGCAGTATTTTAAATTCTAGGGTGTATCAAGCTATCAGTTTCCTCATGTCAGATATATTAAATAAAACTCTATGTATGATTTGAAATAATTTATTTAATTGGGTTTCTCTTGGGTGGTAATTTTCCAATAAAGACACAGTCTCTGCAAACTGGTAGAACAATACGATGTGTTTTAATGGCATCTTGGTCCTTTGTTGCCCCCACAGCTGCAAGAAGGCACAGATATCGGGCTGTGCCAGGGTAGAGACATAATATGGAAATTCCACATGTGTATTACAGTCTATCTGTAGGCGCACATTCACCACGCCTTCAAGAGCATCACCTGAAATAAAGAACAACAGAGATCTTTAATAAATGAAAAATAATATCCTAGAGTACTTTGTATATATATATTGGGAATTTTCAATGAATAAAATGTCTAAAATACTGAGCCTTCTGTTTATTATATTAAGCAGTATAATCTGTCAGAAATCTGTCCAAGTTCAATGTCAGAGAGTGTACTACAAGATGAAGTTTATACCGTTCATTGAAGTATGCAATTTCCACTGAAAGAAGGATTTAAACATTGAAACCATATCAAACACTGATGGAACATGCATATAAAATATAATCAACTGAGAGTGTATGAACATTTTATTGTATGTTAAATGTGGAACTTTCATTCAATGTTGGTTCACAAAATCATGCTATGCAAGACCATGTTATTATATATTAAAAGTGATAAGAAAATCTTTTGGGAATACTATAAAAGTAAACCTTCAGGTGTGATAACAGATCCACAACAGTAGTCGTACTTGGTTAGCAGTCTGTCGAATGCTCTGGATTCTCGAACAGTTAGAGACTTTTTGCTGTAGACACAACGAGGTTTATGACATTCATATTAAAACATACAAATATACAAGACTATAAACATCAGGCTGCCAGACCAATTACACCCCCCCCCCCTCCTTCATATTGATTCAGTGATTCAATGTTGCTGTTTTATGCCCGGGCAGCATAAATTCAATGGATATATTCAGCCGATGGACATGAAGTGTATGTGTAAAATGACCATGGAAAGAAGCCTGCTTTTTACTTGTCAGACACGCTGAGCCGGATCTTTAACGTGCAAGTACACATTGAAGATAACAGTCTGCAGGAAGACGTGTCGCCCTACTCAGACACATTATTCTGATTCCGGGCAAACCAGTCTTTGCTCTAACTCTAGTACTGCATGCTTCGCGGAAAAGCAGCAAATACCAATTTTAAAGCCTTTGGTTCAGTGACTCCGTCAGGGATCGAAGCCACCGTACTCGAGGCGAGCATGCTACCATTGTGGCAGCCTTCTTTTTAGAGAAGTATGGGCTGTCTGCTTTTACGAGACTAGTGTGGAGTGGTCTGCTTTTATTAGGGACCAAATGATTAATTTAAATCAATTGCTTTCAGGCCTCGGGTCAAATTAGTAAGGGTATAAGGAAATCATTAGGGAGTTTAGGTTAAGGGTTTAAAAAATTGGAAGAAAACAAGAAAAAGAATGCAAACAAAGGTGGGGAGACTCTCCTTATCCTAAAAAAAGTCTACCTTTGCTTGCAAGAAATAGATGTTGGGACGGTCACTAACTATGCATACCTATAAACTTGTTAATAGCTTCTTCTTTTCGCTTAGGAAGTTTGTTGACAGCTTGACTGGCTCCCATCATTTTGTCAAAGGTATTGTCAATATTTGAGGAGGAGTAAAGTCTAGTGCCAGTTTCATGTCATCACCGTAGTGTGGACTAAATAATTCTGTAGAACCACTTTTTTCAGAAATGGATACACGGATGTGTTTTTTGTCAAGAGCATCCTCCTCCTCTTCAGTCAATTCTAAATCGGATATCACGTCCTCACATATGTCTTCAAATATTTCCTTCTTCGAAAATCTGCGCAACACATTTGTTGCCAAGTCTTTCTTATAGTTTCCAGCCGAATAAACGGCAACAGAAACCGACAGAACGGCGTCCATGTTCTGACATTTAAATGTATGAACAATCTAGAGAATATCGTAAAGACCCGAGACCACGTGGAAGAAGAAAGCCAAGTCGCGTCATCAAGGCGTTTTCAACTATGCCGATTACAAAGGCCCTTTAAAGAACAGCGTCTCCTTCTTATGTCTTGTGTATTTGATTCCTCCATTTCATAGAAGCACCGCACCACCACAGGAATTTTGATAAAAAAAATTTCTACACAAAATCGGCAATAAAATTATTCCGGTCGCGGCGATTTTTTCGGGTCGGTCGGGATTGGGGAAACAAACAATATTTTATTTTAGGCCTTAAAACTATTTCATGAATCTTCTCCTGTGAAACTTCTGGGCCAAATACCTTCAAACTTAAACTGAATGTTCCGTAGGGTATCTAGTATATAATTGTTTCCAGACAAATCGAACAACCAATTGTTGGGTTGCTGCAACTAAATTGGTAAATTTAAGGAAATTTTGCAGTTTTTGGATATTATCTTTAATATTATTGATGATAGAGATAAACTGTAAACAGCAATAATGTTCAACAAAGTAAGATCTACAAATAAGTTCTATATGACCAAAATTGTCAATTGACTCCTTAAGGAGTTATTGCCCTTTAAAGACAATTTTTCATAATTTGTTCCTCTAGTTTGCTTACTTAAAAAAAATCTTCTCTTTTGAAACTGCTGAATCAATTCAGCCAAACTTGGGCTGAATGGGTTTAGAGTATCTAGTTTAAATTTCTACATTTTATTTCCTTGTTCGTCAAGAAACATAGCCATTATGGCTAAAATTGAACAAAGGGATAAAATGCTTTTTTTTTTTGCATTTGAAGAAAATATGACAGATACAAAGAACATTTAAATGGCATTTTTAAGCCACTTATTAATATATATTGAAAAGCAAAAATAATCATTGATGAAAGATTTAATCAAAAATTTACAGGTGGGCGATTCAGGCTCTTGAGAGCCTCTTGTTTTGGTTCATTGGTCAATGTTAAGTTTTCATTGTTAAGTTTTTTTTTAGGATATTTCAAGCAATAGGTCAACTATATTTGGTGTATGGAATGATTGTGAGGTATATGTCTGTCTTGCAGGTATCATCTGACTGTGACCTCATTTTCATGGTTCATTGGTCAATATTAAGTTTTCATGCTTAAGTTTGTTTCTTAGAAACTATAAGCAATATGTCAACTGTATGTAATACATAGATTGCCTGTAAGGTGTACTTGGATGGTTCATCTGACCTTGACTTCATTTTCATCGTTCACTGGTCAATGCTACGTTTTCCTCGTTAAGTTTATTTCTTAGAAACTATAAGCAATAGGTCAATTATATTTCGTGTATGGAATGATTGTGAGGTGTACATGTACATGATGTATTTCTTGTTTGGTTTATCTGACCTTGACCTCATTTTCTTTTATTATCGTAATTTTATGTGATACTTGTAGTAAAGCTTTATATTTAGGAGTATCAACATTAAATCAATTTTCAGTAAATGAGGCAAGACATTTCAGTGTGAGCACTCTTGTTTTTCTAGGAGTTATGCCTGTGTGAACTTAGAATGTTGGCCTAAATATACTACTGTAAGAGTTTATCATCGCAACTCCTCTGAAACCACACACCAGAATTTCATGAAACTTTGTAGATAGTTAGGACATACTGTGTATATGTGCATATGCACAGGAAATTTTTATCAGTTGATTTTTGTAGGAGTTATGTGTTTTAGGAATCTGGTGAGATTTTGTTTGCCCAGTGACAATTTTGGGGCGTGGGGTATGTGAGCGTGCTCACAAAGGTTCTTTAATTCGAGACAATTGTGCACAGACTCTGGCATCATAGCGAGTTGATTCTTCAAGTATATTTCCATAGCTTCTTTCTGTATATTTCTATGTGGGTATTAAAGCGACAACTGAAGCACATTTCGTACTACAAATGTACAAACGATCAATGCTTTTACAACACTGTAAAATGACAAAAGAAGGATTCAATTTTGATAATGAGATGTTTATGCTACAATCATGATATAGCAGTTCATATCAAGCTTTTCATTAGTTTTCCTATGCATTGTTCTGATGTTCTCAAAGGAAGCACATGCAGTCATGAAAAAATGAATTTTATTGGTAAATAAATAAAATATAATTTTGGAATGTCTCATGACTGTTGTCTGTCAATCAAAACTATAATAACATACATGTAATGCAATTGAATATTAAATATTAACATACAGTGAAAACAGGCACACAAAATAGTTATATTTTTATACTTAATTAAAGAGAGTAAAGTTATGATCTTCTACTTTATAGAAAAACTCTTTATGAAAAAATATAGTTGCAGGTGATATGGTTCCAACTGAAATAAAATTAATGGCTGACAAAAGATCTATTGATTTGTACCTCAAATTACTTGAGTCAGGATCTGAGAAAAAGAGAGACATACGTTTAGTAATAGTTGGGAAGAAAGGTGCAGGAAAAACCTCATTGATTAAAAGATTGTTCTCTGAAGAGAATACAGATGTAACTAGTACAAATGGAATAGAAATCCACACAATAAAATGCAAAGCAATGTCTGATGATGGCATATGGAATAAATTAGATGGTATGATGTATAAGCTTAAACACAAATGTTTCTCTATTATTAAGAAAGTATTTATAATGTTTTTGATTTCTAGTTTACATGACTTATTATTCAGCAATACTTTAGGGTTGTTTGAGGACTATCTTTTAGTTTTCAAAGCATAGGTATTACAGGTTGCACTTTGTAAATACAGCCATGACAGCTGGTTCACAAGCCACGCCTCTTTTGGGGAGATATATAATATTCATAGCTATTTTGTTTTGTTTACGTACTGGTTCCAAGATATAATCTCTATGTTTCATCTCATAGAGAAATAACTTGGGAATGTTACAAAAATGTATAAAAACACATGGTAGCGGTGAAAAATGAATTCTGAAGAAGACCCAAAGTAAAGGTAGGGGTAGTTCAGAATTTTAGTATAAGTTTAAACTCTTAGAAGTTTGTGGCATATAAATGTTGAAAATATACTGCACAGCCCTATGTTTTGACCTTTGACAGGGGGTATTCAATTCCCACTTCCCTCCCCCCTGACTCCCGCTTCCCTCCCCTAGACTTCCGCTTCCCTCCTTTAACTTATCATTTCGTTCAGATATGCCTCCTTTCTCCCTTCACACAAGAAAATCTAGAACTGTGAACATACCTCCGTTTCTCCAACCAGTCCTTGCTGGTGAAGGGGTTGATCTCAATGATCCTCAATGGACATGAACATCATCACATGCGCACGAGTATCTAGCATACCATACCAGAGGATTGACAATGACAAGATGCACCAATAAAAAATAAAGATAACTTTAAAATCTAAATGTAATAATCTACGTAAATATATACTGTACTGAAAAATTTATATATAAATACATAGATTGATTTCCATATTCCTGAATGTAGAACTGATCATGAAAACTTTAAAAAGAAATAACAATTGCATTCCAGACAATTATTTTTAAGAAGATATTGAACTTTGTATTTCGATTTGAAACAAATTTCTTCACAAGTTATGATATAATAAGCTACTGTCCTGGCAGATTTGTTTTTACTTTAAAAGTGAAAAGTATTCAATTTCTTGATTTTTTTTATGATTGTGTCTGTAATTTTATAATAATATTAAATAGTATATACCAGAAAATTGTATTAAAGAAACTATTTCATTTATAGTTAAAAATTGCTTTATTTTTTTACGCCATTTATGCAGAAATTTAATGTAATAGGCTACTGTCCTAGCAGATTTTTTTTTTTTGTTAACAAAATGAAAGTCCATAATATTTTATATTTTCATAAAGCTTATATTTTAAACTTTCCAATGAACAAAAGTTTGCTTACCAGACATTCATTTTGAAGAAGATATGCAACGTTATATTTTGAATTTGAGCCAATTTCTACAAAACTTCTAATGTAATAGGCTACTGTCCTGGCAGATTTTTTTACCTTAAAAGACAAAAAAAATATTAAATTATAAATTTTTGAAATGATTATTCCCTAAACATTATAAAAGTACAAAAATTTTATGCCAGACAGTTGTTTTGGAGAAATTATTTTAATTGTAAGTAAACTTTTCTCAGCATTTTCCGCCATATTTTTCTTAAAATTTAACTGTCTTGCATTTTTTTTTTACTTATAATCATACAGTTTATATTTTAATAACATGTTGAGTAAAACGAAAGTTACAGATACAAACGTATCAAAAATAACTGTCCTGGTTTTTAGACCTTCCCGTTGGATACAGACACAGATACAATACTGTACAGACAATACGGAAAGTCTGGAAACGATCTTTTCGCATGCAATCTTCTGCAAATAATCTCCAAACCCAATAAGATGGTCTTAAAGAATAACAACACCTTTTATCGTGTAATATTTTTGTTTAATACAGCACTGAATTGGTTTCCCTGTTTCCTCGATTTCTTCATGTTCCCGCCCCGCTCGCTCCCGGTTCATGCCCCCTTACTCCCGGTTCCCGCCCCCCTTACCTCCTGTCCATCCCCTCTTATAACACTATTTCATGTCTTATTTATATTCATCTATTTAAATTGCCTTTTTTTATATGTCTATTTTTAGAGCTGATGTTGACGAATAATAGATGTTTTCCAGTCGTAAAAATGTTGATACTTTATGAACATTGTGTGCGTTTTCTGTTGTTTTCAGTGAAATCATTGTACTTCTGATATACTCTTAAATATGGTATAAATCAAAGTTCCAAATCAATACAGTTTATGTGGATTTGGTAGCTAATGCTATTTTAACATGTGGAGACATTGATATAAAATGTGTTATGATTTCTCATAAGACAGCTTTCCAACAAAGACCAAAGGATGAGGGTGTAAACAATTACAACTCACTGTTTGCCTTCAAAATTATATGTTAACCACACCATCTCATGATGATTTAAGTTTAATTTTCTAAGGTTATATAATGATTCTTAATGCATGCTTTTTTTTAAATTTATTTTGATGAATATCTTTACTTTATTTAGCAACATATTAATAATAAGGTATGTGTAGAATATGCATCAAGTTTTGTGGTTTTCATCAAATCTGTTATATCAATATTACAACCAACTGAAGAAACTCCATTTTCAATTGTGATACCTGTTCATGTGTATTTTTGTAGAACTAGCTAATGGTTGAAAAAAATAAATTGATGGACAACATTTATTTTGTAACTGTTTATTGCTTATTTTATGATGGGATCTTACTTAGTATTTCTTTAATATTATTATAATTTTCTAATGCTAGGAACCAATGAAGAAACTGAAATTCATGCAAGACTCTTGAAACAATACAAAGAAACAATTGAAGCATCAGTAGAAGAAGGAGCACATGAAGCTGTCAAGGAAAACACCCTCACAACCATTCTGTACAAGCGTATTGAGGAATCAAAAGAATCAGAGACAGTAACCCAGCAGCCTAAAATAAGAAAACATCATGTAACTACTGAATCTCAAGTTGAACCTCCAGTAACCTCGCAGCAACGAAATCAAGTATTAAAACAGGCAAAAATGGATATTGAAGCCATTCTTAAATCTAATGTTGATTTACATGATAAAGAGGAGTATGCCACATTATTGTTATGGGATTTTGCAGGAGATGAAGAATTTTACCACACACACCAAACTTTTTTATCACAAGATGCAATTTATCTTGTCGTAACAAAACTCACTGAAGCTGACGACATACAAGCACAAGGTAACATTTCATATAGATACGATAAGTTAGAATTAAAATATTTTATGTTTTATTTTATATTTTATTTCATTTTTTCTTAGCATTAGATGCAAATTGTTGTCAAGAACTATATATCAATCCATTTCTGCTCCAAGTAAATAAAATATGTGACGAAATCAGTCAATTAATAACATTAACTGTTCCAATCTTACTGCACCAGATGCACATTTTCAACAATGGATGTCTCTTCAGAAATGCTCGATGCCAAAATGTTGAGGACCCAATTATAGCTTTTGTATAAAAGACAATTTCATCGGTCATACATCATCTGGCATATGTATATGCCACTGGTCAGTGGTTATCAACCTTGCATAAGGTAGACAATCTGGAAAATCAAAATCTTGAACACAAATGTCTTATGCAGTCGGCAGGTTTTTGCAAATATATTGATGTCAGCTATTTTTAAAATTTCTATTATTTAAGTGATGTCTGATTGCTTTACAATTTCCAAATGTTCAAGTAGCATCTTATTGGATTCGATCTTTTTCTTTTTTCTCTCCGCCATAATAGGCTCTATTGTCCGGAACTGTTAACTATGTTTTAGCCCGCTCTCTCTCTTCGCTCTCCATTGTAAACAAACATCACTGTGTACATGTGTTAGACTAAATCAGTATTAAACAAGTAACATTCAATTGCAGTTAAGTAATGACTTAATGCCCTTGTGTAGTTTCATCTTAACTGGCGTGGTGGCAGCGTGATTCGAATTTACGCCTACAAGAAAGGTTATTATTCATCACATTGTTGAGACAAACATCGGGACTGACTAAAACCTGTCTAGGTCATCCGTAAATAAATATTTACCGTGAAACTTAAACTGCAAATAACCAAGAACATTTAACACAATGGCTAATACACACAGAGCACCTAAACAGTGGTGCCTTACTAAAATTGAAACTGTAAATTCATTTGAAAACTGGAGACAAAACATAATATACACGTTATCATTAGACCCATATTTTGCACCATTCTTAGGAGACGGCGTACATTGGGAAAAGAAAACTAGGAATGCTCCCAATCGTGGCTTTTTACATGATGGTGAAGATGTAGCTGAGGCAAATAGGCGTACACGTGAACAAAAAGTCAGCATGTTAGAATTAATGCTAGGTCAAATAGCCAATTATTGCCCTGTTATCTCTAGAAACACAATAGTGAAAAATTCTACTTCGATTGAAAATATATGGCAAACCATCCGTTTACATTATGGATTCCAATCCACGGGTGCTCATTTTATAGACTTTGCCGCAATACATTTTGAACCGAACGAACGCCCAGAAGACCTTTATCAACGAATAATGGCTTTTGTTGAAGACAACCTGCTCCAACGCGATACCCAAATAACGCATCACGGGGGCGCAATCGAGGAAGATGAAGAAATGACACCTTCACTTGAAAACTTTGTCGTGCTAACATGGTTAAGACTAATACATACAGACCTACCTAAACTGGTCAAACAAAGATATGGAACAGAATTAAGATCGAGAACATTGTCGTCAATAAAACCGGAAGTTTCGCAAGCGCTAGATTCATTACTTGAGGAACTCCGGAATTCTGAGGACGCAAAAGTTATGCGAGCAGTTACTTCTAACTTTCCCACAAAATCTAAGTTTGTTCATGAAGAAAAACTAAAATTATCTTATCCACGCTCTATTAAAAGCTGTCCGTTATGTAAAGCTGCAGGCAGACCCGACCGCCACTTCCTCAGCAAGTGCTCATTCTTACCGAACAGCAATCGAAAATACATGGTAAAAGCCCGACAAATTGCCGGAATATTTGATAATTCAGATGACGAATCATCAGACGTAGAAGTCGACACTGTTTCTAAACCTACTCATTCAGTAAACCGAGTCCAAGTCCGTCAGTCTCCGTATCTTGACGTGTTCCATACACATTATAACACTCGTTTAACTATTGATAGTGGTGCGACCGGCAATATGTTACGTGCATCCGCAGCTAAACGAATAGGTATTGAAATAAAATCTAGCTCTCAATCTGCACATCAGGCCGATGGATCTTCACCCCTCAAAGTCATTGGGGAAGTACACACTAATTTCACACGTGATGGACGTGAACTACATTTTGAGGGTTTAGTCGTCGAAACTTTGGATGTGGACATCTTGGCTGGTATTCCTTTTATGGAAAAAAATGACATTTCTATCTGTCCTGCTAAACGTCAAGTAATACTGGGTAACAATACCGTTTATACTTATGGCTCTGTTCAAAACACGTCCGAACATCATACAGTCCGTCGGGCACACGTTTTACGCGCTCCATCTCAATTTACAACTATTTGGCCAGGCGATTTTCTTGAAATGCAATTACCATCTGATATTTGCTTAACTGATGATACATTCGCCATTGAACCAAGATTCGAGTCGCATATTTCATCAATACATGTTGGAAAGGATTCTAACCTGTGGCCCCCGCCAAATTTGATTACAAGCGTTGCTGGCAGAATTCGTATCCCAAATTTGACACAGGAACCCCATAGTTTAAGACGCAACGAACACTTTTGTCAAATACGATCAACATACATTCCAGAGTGTAAAAGTGATGCTTTCGAATCTACTGAAAAAATTGATAAAATTAGTCACCCAAGATTGACAAATTATTCAGAATCAGTCAAAATTGACCCAGATAATTTGTTATCTCAAGAGATAAAAATAAAATTCCGGGATACATTAAAAGACTATGATGATGTTTTTGATCCATATTTTAAGGGATATAATGGCGCCGCCGGTCCATTTCAAGCTAGAGTAAACATGGGACCAGTCCAACCCCCGCAACGCAAAGGCCGTGTTCCGCAATATTCCCGTAATCAACTAGTAGAACTACAACAAAAATTTGATGAACTTGAAGCAATTGGTGTTTTCAAACGCCCAGAAGATATTGGTGTATCTGTAGAGTACGTTAACCCGTCTTTTTTAGTTAGGAAACCAAATGGCAGTTTCCGTTTGGTTACCGCTTTTGCAGACATAGGTCGATATAGTAAACCCCAACCGTCACTCATGCCAGATGTTGACTCAACCTTACGTCAAATAGCACAGTGGAAATACATAATAGCTACTGACCTTACTAAATCGTTCTACCAAATTCCACTTTGGAGTGATTCTATGAAATACTGTGGTGTAGTAACCCCCTTTAAAGGTGTACGTGTGTACGCTCTGCGATGGGCATGCCAGGCTCAGAAACAGCACTAGAGGAGCTTATGTGCCGTGTTTTAGGTGATCTTGTAGAAGAAGGCGGTGGAAATACCCAACTCGAATTACTACAAAACTGGACAAGGGTTCTACAGGCTCTGCAAAAGAGCAGTCTAAATTTGTCTGCTACTAAAACGATTATCGCACCCAAAAGTACAACTATTCTTGGATGGATTTGGCAATTAGGAACTATCAGAGCTAACCCACATTGTATTTCTACCTTATCAGTTTGTCCACCACCAGCCAAAGTATGTGGTTTGCGGTCTTTTATTGGAGCCTGTAGATATCAAGTAACAGTAAGACATGTAGCAGGAGCTGCTATACTTCCGTCCGATTTTGCAAGTCGCAATGCACTAGACTGTGAGGATTCAGCCTGTCAAATCTGTACATTTGTGCAATTTACTGAAAATTCAGTTGTTAGACATATCTCTACAAAAGACATTCTTGAAGGGATTCAAAAACTTCCGTTTACAAGCAGGAATGCCTGGATATCAATCCAAACAGAATGCTCGGATTTACGGCGAACACATGCTCACTTGCGCCAAGGGACCCGACCGTCAAAAAAACTTACTAATGTAAAGGATATTAAACGCTATCTGAACAATGTGTGTATTGCGAAAGACGGTTTACTTGTTGTCAATGATTGTATTGTTGTTCCTCGTCAGGTTTTAGATGGACTGCTTACATCCTTACACATTAAACTCGACCATCCTTCAACCTATCAACTTAAATCTGTCGTACACCGTTACTTTTTCGCACTGGATATGGATAAAGCAATTGAAACTGTCAGTAATGGAATCTCATCAATGTGCCGCACTTCAAAAAATTCCTCACAAGTTAAATGTACAATCTACAGGTGACCCACCAGAGACAATAGGGTCTGCATTTGCTGCAGATGTGATGAAGCGTGAACGACAGCTTATCCTTGTTGTGCGCGAATATGTTACGTCATACACAGCTGCTCGCTTGATCACAGACGAGCGCCAAGAAACTTTAAGTGAATCTTTATTGTGCCTTTGTGTTGAACTATGTCCACTAGATGGACCATTTGCTGTCGTTCGTACCGACCCTGCTCCAGGATTCCAAGCCCTTGTCAACGATGAACTTTTGTGTCGACATAGAATGACCATAGAAGTTGGTCGTGTCAAGAACAAAAACAAAAACCCTGTAGCCGACAAGGCAATTCAAGAGTTAGAAGACGAAATTTTGCGACAAGACCCGAATACACGATGTATATCACCTCTGTCACTCACGTTAGCTATTGCCCGTTTAAACTCTCGAATTCGAAACCGCAGGTTATCTGCAAGAGAAATGTGGACTCAACGTGATCAATTCTCAAACAACCAAATACCATTGACAGACCATAGTCTTATTCAGCGTCAACATGAGTTACAAAAGTCGAACCACAGTTACAGCGAAATTTCTAAAGCTCCCTCTAGAGCTCTACCCGAATCTCCGCATTTAGAAGTTGGTGATCTAGTTTACTTATATAATGACCGAAACAGAACTTGTGCTCGTGACCGATATCTAGTTGTTTCTACAGACAATTCTTGGTGCAACATAAGAAAATTCGTTGGTTCTCAGTTACGCAATACATCATACCGTGTAAAAAGGAGTGATTGTTATAAAGTTCCGTCACTATTGAACACTTTAAGCCAACAGGATACTTATAATCACGACAATTGTACATCTTCGGATGAGGACGATAATACAGTGAAAACACATAGCCCGCCTAAACCTCCTGACATTCCAAATGTAATATCCATTCCTCATTTACAGGAGTTAGATCCGGAACGTTTCGAAAACGAACCAAGTGACCTAAGCTTACCAATAGGCGAAAATGAATTACAACACGAACCTGATGATCAAGTAAACACCGATGTAATTCGACGATCCACACGGGAACGCCATCCTCCTAAATTTCTTCAAGACAATTACGTTCTATTTAAGTGAGAGAAACAAACATTGTGTACTAATATAACCAGTGTGGACCATAAGCACAAAAGATTTTGCGTTGTAATAGCAAATTAAAACTATTATTTGTTAGATTATTATTATGTATAAATGGGGCAGAATAATCCCTGATATCACTAGAGGGCAGTCTACCCTATGAAAGTGTTTTTTTCCGAAAATTAATATGTTTGTTCTTGTAACATGTAAGCAGAGTCTTATAAGTAACTTTAATTTTCAAAATGAAAAAAAAAAGAAAAACTGGTAACGCCATAATAGACTCTATTGTCCGGAACTGTTAACTATGTTTTAGCCCGCTCTCTCTCTTCGCTCTCCATTGTAAACAAACATCACTGTGTACATGTGTTAGACTAAATCAGTATTAAACAAGTAACATTCAATTGCAGTTAAGTAATGACTTAATGCCCTTGTGTAGTTTCATCTTAACTGGCGCTCAACATTTTAAAAGGTGTCTCAGATATATTTTAAAGTAGTTATGTGTCGAATCCAACTATTGAGATGTGCTGTTATATAATTTCTATATTTCGTTTGTTATTGATTAAGTTATAAAATGGTTACAAAATCAAGTTATCACATTTGTACGCACCCATGCAGTCAGGATTCTACTTCGTCAAAACTATCTCCCCATTACGCCACCTATTTTTTTAAATCGTTATAATGGAAGCCATTGTAGTGATGACGCGCTGTCAATTTAGCTCTTGAAAACCAATCAATTTATCAACATAGCATCATTATGATCCTTATATGCCAGTTGTATTTTAAAAGAAAAATGTATCTACTAGCTATTGAGCATCATTTACTGTACTTTTATGCATTTGGTTAACTTAAAACTTTTGTCTAATTAGTTGTCAGGGGGGGGGGGGGAAGGGGGACTTAGTAAAGTTCAAAAATATTTTTAAAAATTATAACTAAATATTTCGTGGAAGGGCAGACAAAAAATGTTCACAGGTTGAAGACTAATTACCCTAGATAACACGCACAAAATATGATTTTTTTGGGAAGTTACGCATTTTTAAGATCCACTTGTAAAGTCTGTCGTACTTTTAGTAAACATTTATTATTCGAACACACCTACTTTGTTGTTATGACTCATTAAAAAGGTATTTCAGTTGACCATTTTATTTGATTTTTAATGTTATTATATCAACCTATAGCATAAATATATAAAAATAATAGAATCTGAAGCGAGATGATGTTTCAAATATTTTTCTTTTATAAGTTTTCAAGACAGAATAGTCAACTCAAACATGCCTGAACATAAAAAGGTATACTTGACTTTCTCTTTTTGATGAAGTTATTGCCCATTTTGGGGATTTTTTCCCAAAAAACTGTCGCTGGTGGGGGGGGGGGGGGGGGGAATGCAAATTATTGCTTTATAAAGATCAATCTATTATCTTTCTTTTAATTTTTTTTTTCGGCAGAATTTTTGCTTATGCACAAAAAAGATCCACATGTATTTGCACCTACTACAATCAGCTGTTGTGTGGAAATTTGTCTATAACTCAAAAGTTTACAAATACCTCGAAGCTCCATAACATAATTTAAGTAAAAACACATATATCAGTATATAAGATGAATAAAATCCTAAATTACGCACATTCATTAAACTTTTAAAGCCCATAGAAACAGATGTAAACAATTAAAAAATCAACAACTTGGCCTTTCTTACCTTCTCTAATAAACATTTCCATTTCTTTTATTTAAATTCAATATGGTTTCCGACTGTCATGGCATGCTTATTGCTTATACAGTTTTCTCAACATTAGGTTTCTATGGATTTTTTCTCATGATTCCTCATCGAAATCATGATTTCTTTATAGTTTAAATAGTTTGGAGTGCAGAAAACCATTGAAGTGGAATTTTATTTTGTCTGAATTCAAGAAGTGACAGGGAATTTTTTAAATAAAATTCTTTTATAGTCTTTGAAAAGTTAATTCAACTTTAACGTTTTGTAACCATTGCAATTGAGATGTACACAAATTTGTTAATCCTTGTGTTTATAGCGCTAATCAAACGCCTTCTAAATCTTCTTTTTAATAAAATTGCTTCATTTGAACAGTTTTCTACATTTCGTTAAAAGGTGAATAGTTTAAATGTCATAATATTTCCTCTATCCAGACAGTGTTGGTAATTACTGTTTATTACTGTTAGTGAGAGTTTAGTTTTATATTGTGTATTGACTCATTGGAAGGTCTGACTGACAGGAGCTTTTTGTTCATACTTATAAAAAGGTCAAATCTGTTCTAAATTGATCAATGATTAACAGATAATTAATTAACGGAGTTCGTCATACCACATCCCCTCATTTTTATACGCCCATTTACGGGACGTATTATGGTATACCTCTGTCCGTCCGTCCGTCTGTCCGTCGTCAACATGTTGGACATTAACTTAAAAATGCTTTAACCAATTTGCATAAAACTTTGGTGAATTGTTTATTTCTATTGACGTGAGCTACCTTTCGTTTTTTATAAAATTTTGATTTTACGTTTCCAAGTTATGGGGTTTTATTCATTAAAAAAAGGGGGATTTTCCAGTTTTCGGAAAATAAGTGAAGAATGCTTTCACCAACTTGCAAGAAATTGTGGTGAATTGTTTATATCTATTGACATGAGCTCCCTTTCGATTTTTATAAATTTTAGATTTTACGTTTCCGAGTTACAGGGTTTTATTCATAAAAAAAGGGGGGATTTTCCAGTTTTCGGACAAAAACTCAAAAATGCTTTCAGCAATTCTTATGAAACTTTATTGAATTGTTTGTATGTATTGATGTAAGCTCCCTTTAGAATTTTATAAATTTAACATTTTACATATCTGAGTTGTGGGGTTTTGTGATTTTCCAGTTTTCGGACAATAACTCAAAAATGCTGTCACCAATTCTTATGAAACTTTGGTGAATTGTTTATATCTATTGATGTAAGCTCCCGTTTTATTTTCATAAATTTCTAATATGACATTGAGAATTAATTGAACTTTATTTGTTTATAGTCTGATAACAGATTTACTAAGTATTGCACAACAGCAAGAAATCTTTAATTGAATATAAATTCAATTCATATAACCAATTTCAAGTTCTTTGACTACATTTATTCAGAAACCTATAATATGTCGACTATTTAATTACAATCCAAATTCAGACCTGAATCAAGCTTGAATATTGTGTCCATTTTTGCCCCAACTGTTCAGGGTTGGACCTCTGCGGGCGTATCTAGCTGCGCTCAGCGAAGCAGTTTATTTTGTTTGTTATAAAGAATGTGTAAAGCATGAGCAAGAGTGATTTCATACCTAAAATATCACATGAATATATTCCTAAAATAGTAATGCCATATACATGTACTGATTTTTATATTAAATGGTACCATAAATATGTCTTCCTTAAAAAAGAAACAGTTCATTTGTTACATGTTCTAATAACTTTGCAGCACAGATGTATTAATACACACTTACATATTAGTAAAAGCTACTACTCCAAGTTTCTCTACTACAAAGAACTTGCAATCGGTCATGAGACTTGAGTAAATGGTGATATGAAGTTGTTGTATTATTTCTTTGTAGATTTATTCCAATTATGGATGGACTCAATACATTGCTACAGTAGACTGGAAGAGGACAAAAGTAGTTCTGCTGACAGCAAGACATCAGATGATCTTGATCCACCAGTAGTTATTGTTGGTACTTGGAAAGATGCTGTGACCTCTGATGTAGAAGAGGTATTGAAAATCTACAAATGTTTAAAGGTTGCAAACACACTTCTACTGTTGTGCTTATTTGTACAGGTTCATGTTTTACTGATAGTTTATTGTAACCAGATCAGCATTATGACAATATATAATGAAATAACTTTATCAGTTTTAAGGTTTGAAATGTTTCCAGGAAAAGCAAATCTTATATCAAATTTTACAGAAGTTGTGGTCTTACAATAATTTATTTAATGTGATATAGTTATATGATTATCATATATGTTTATACAGCTTTAGTATTTACTTCATGTTTTCAAATATGTCCAAAGCATTCATTTATTTGTTCAGACCAAACAAACAAACAAGCATATTTTATTTTGTAGATTGACGATGCATGCCGAGAAAACATTTTTAAGTTTACGGAGAATATGTCAGAAGATCAACTAAGACATATAAGGCAAGAATACTTCATTTCCAATACAGAAGATGATCCCAGTGTATTCCAGAAAATACGAGAAGACATCCTAAACTTAGCCAGAAAAATGAAAAAATGGAACATAGATTATCCCTTAAAATTTATTCAGCTGGAAACACGACTTCAAGAAAAGAAGAAGGAGTTACCTATTATTTCCTTTCAGGAAATTCAGAATATTGCTACTGATACACCTAAGCCACTAAATGATGAAGAACTCAGATTGTTCCTGGAATTCCATCACGAGATCAGAGCTTTAGTTTATTTCAAAGATCTTCCTTCCTACATTATTTTAGATACACAGTGGTTGTCTGACGCTTTTAGATATATAGTTACTGCAAAGAAATTTAGAGCCATTAGTATCAAAAATAGAAAAAAATGGGATGAATTGTACAGTAGAGGCAAATTACATAGTGAGGTTTTAGAAGATATATTCAAAAAAAGGGATAATATGTTTTTCAAACACAAGGACCATATTCTGAATGTAATGGAGAGATTTGATATCATCATACGTCCAAACATGTCAGAGACTGCTGACGAAAAGCCTTGCTACTATGTACCTTGCCTGATTAAAAAAGAATTACACTGTGACATTTATGCAACATTTAATGTGACAGACGATACCTGTAAAAAATCAACTTGGTTATGTTTCAAATTTAGATTCAAGCCACCACATCTAATGAACCATTTGATTGCTTCACTGAGCCGGAAGTATGAAATTGCAGAAGTGATTGTTCCAAATAAAATAAAAAAGTCAGTTGCTCTTTTCGGAGGCATTGCAGTCTTTGAGTTACAGAAGAAAACATATTTAAGAAAATTGCTTGTAATGACATTTCCAAATTTTATTCAGGTTCAGGTTTTGGAATTTGGGAAAGATTCATTCATCAAAAGAGGTTTGTACAAAGACATTGGTGACTTCGTGACAGAGGAGTTAGAGAAGATAATACATACACGATTCAAGATGTCCAATGTAGAATTCGAGAAAAAATTTGAATGTGGCCATACAAAACCTGAATTAGTGACAGGATCCAATGAATTTAGTGAGGAGCAGATTACAGAATATCTCTGTGGGACATGTAAAACACCCCACACATTCGATGGCGAATGGTCAGAGATAGAAAGTAAAGCGCTGTCTGTAAGTGTTTACATATTGCATTAATACATTTGATTTAAATTTTTTCATGAAAAGTCACGGAAAGCATGAAAATGCAGTGATTTTCCTGCCTTTTTTTTGGGTCCGAAAATAGGCCCTGTTCCAAATTAGAAAAACCCTAATTTTTTCCCAAATGAACACTGAAAATTCCCAATTTAATCAAGTTGTAGCAAACAGGTTATTGATTATTTTATTGTTCGTATGAGGTAGCCCTTGGCCCATAGAGACACATGTCCTGCCTTTGGAACTTGACGGGCTAGCAGAGTTGGAAGACTTAAAAAAAAACAAATATAAATAGCCCTCTGAGCTAGTAAAGGAATTTAGTTAGTGTCAAATCCTGATGATATATATATTAACATGCACCAAGAAAAGAAAATGAAATGGTAAAAATTGGTCATGATAGAAAATTGGAATTCAAATAAATAACCTCATTAAACCATGATTAAAATAATGATTTATTTTTTCCCAATTCACACGTTTTACGACACATTTTTCCCAATTGCCTGGGGCCCGAGCCACATTTGAAAAAAGGTAGGAAAATCACTGAAATGTTTGTTTGTTAATTATTTTGAAACAAAAAAAAAGATAAACCAACCACATGTTGATACCACATATACAAAGGAGGAATAAGTCATTATTTGGTCCCTGAAATTACGAAATGTGTATGCTTTGCAAAACAAGGTTATAATAGCTGTATTTATATATGAGCAGCCTGATATAACCTTGACACTTAAGTGAAGAAATGTCAGTTGTGATTTTGCTATGACGCCATGAAATGCATAAATGAGAATAAATGGATGTTTTACTGACTGAGGGTTTTTGCCAACATAGATATTATTCAAGACTTTACCCAAATAGATATTTTACACATGTTTTCATCTTTAAGAAATCGTATTGTAGCCAACATTATAATTAATTTTGGCTGAAATGATTAATATAATTATGAAATATTACAGAGAAGAACAAATTATATATATGGAAGATTAGACTTCACTTGTTGGAAAAAATGTATTAGGTGCATTAAAGACCTAGTACATTAATGTCCTAGATTAGCATTCAATGATTGCAATATAACATCATATATTGATTTTGATGCTGCTGTGTATGCGGAGGAGGCATTAAGTTTTACCCTTGTAAGACTGTATGTCTATTCATACGTCTGTCTGTACGTCCCAAAATTAGTTTCTCTCTCTTACTTTTGTTTGCTTCAACGAAATGTTATGAGGTTTATAGACAATGCTTATTTCCAACAAACACAGATCAAGTTTGAATTTGGATGGGGTCACTTATACCGTTCTCGAGTTATGTCCCTTTATAAGTGGACAAATTTTCAAATTTGCTGTTTCTGCTGGTTTTCCACCAAGCACAGATCAAGGTTGAATAATGGTAGAGTCACTTTTGCAATTCTTGAGTTATGTCCCTTTGTAAATTTAAAAATTACAGGTATTGCTGTATATTTATAAGCAGGGAAACTGTGTTCCATCGTCACATTTTTTAAAAGCATTGGTAGCTGTACTTTAGGGAACCATATATGTCTGTACTACATTTTGTAAACTAATCCTCACCCTTAAACTAAACCTAACATTAACACTAGCCCTATTCCAAACCTACTGAAACTCTTACCTAACCCTGAAACCAAATCTGAACCTTTTTCTTAAGTTCAGGGTCCCATAAAGTTAAAGAAGACTGTTTGAGTAATTGAAATCATAAATCTATTATAGCACACTTCCGCTTAGGTAAACCATAATAGATATATGATATAACAGAGGCAGATTAGGGTCGGTGGTTCTTTCCGGGTGCTCCTGCCTTCTCCACCACTAAATACTGACTGCCACGAATTAGCAAAATAGTGTTGAAAGTGGAGTTAAACATCAATCCATGACAAGGGCAGAAAAGTTTTACAATGTTAGGTTATACCATCATACCATTATAAATCAAACTGTCAGATGACTCCTTTTATGATTTTTACCAATTTTGGTTGATTTTGGGTATCATCTTGAAAACCAGATTGTCAGTTGTCTCCTTATAAGATTGTTAAACTTGAAAGACAATTGTTGCCCCTTATTTGTGTTTTTTATACAAAAGCTATAGTAGACAGAGAGTTACTCTTCAGACAAAAATCATCAAAAGGACAATATATACGTGATATACAAATAAGTTAGTTAAACAACATTTTTAAGAGAAACTATAAATAACAAAAAATGGTCAACATCTCTAAATATAATAATGACATCTTTCAGGATAATTATGAGAAGAAACCGGGACAGAGAGGACTTGCCCTGATTGTTAACTTCATGTTCCATGGTGGGACAAATGAGAGAAAAGGTAATTTAAAATCAAAATTTATTCATTGGATCATGTTTCAGTCAGTAATTAGTCAAATTGTTAGAATGAGATGATTTCTCATATTTATGTTCTGTGAATTTGAGTTCAGGTTACATTCATTATTGTATGAAAGACAGAAAAAATTTGTAAGCGTTCCGCGGAACCCAGTGTCTCACCTACTTTATGAATCTAATAAATGTTTTAAAAACTTTAACTGCAGACTGTGTAATGTTAACTGGAAGAAAAACTTAGTCCATTTATTAGATATATACGAAAAAAAATGGAAATAAATTTCCTTCTAGATACTAGCTTTTGATCATAAACAAGCTTCTGTCCAAGTTTGGTACAAATCCAGGATAGTTTAAGAAAGTTATTTAAATTTTTCAAACTTTAACCACAGAGTGCATGTAATGTTAACTGGCAGAAAAACTAAGTCCATTTATAAGTAAAATACGGATAAACAGGATTTTTGTTTTACAAATTTACTTCTGGATACTATCGTATGATCATAAATGAGCTTCTGTCTGAGTTTAGTTGAAATCCAGGATATTTTAAGAAAGTTATTAAAATTTTAAAAAACTTTGACCACAGATTGAATGTAATGTTAACTGGCAGAAAAACTAAGTCCATTTATAAGTAAAATACGGATAAATAGGATTTTTGTTTTACAAAATTTACTTCTACATAAACAAGCTTCTGTTCAAGTTTGGTAGAAATCCAGGATAATTTAAGAAAATTTTTTAAATTTCCAAAACTTTAACCACAGAGTGAATATTTGTGGACGCCGCCGACGACGGAATGTAGGATTGCTATGTCTCGCTTTTGCGACAAAAGTCGCAGGCTCGACAAAAATCAATTATACAATACCTGTCTGAAATTGTAAATATCTGATAAGCCACAATATTAAACAAAATAAAGTATTGAAATCTTGGTATTTGTTCTTATAATTGACAGAATTATTACTCAGTTTTTCATTTAGTAATTTATAATAATGCATGTTTCGAAGTAATTTTGTGTGTTACATTTATCCAACTTTTGATTATTATGCAATGCAATTTTTATACTCTGCTAAATGAATTGACAGGATACTGTGATTTTTGTGCCCATTGGTTAATTCATTTGTTGTTGTGTCGTTTGTCTGAATATTGTTTCTCCGACTTTTAAAACAAGAGGGTGGATTACTTTGAAACACTGACAGAATCTTAATCAGTTTTCTATGTAGTGCAGGGATGCTCAATAACCAAACATTTGACAGGGAAGTATACATGGCTGATGAACTATAGGGACAAAACCAAATAGAAAAGCCAAAAAAATATTAGGTCAGTATTGCCTCAGGGAGTTGCAATCTTAGTTTTTTAATAAGATCAAATGAAAATTTATCAATGGGAAATTATCAGGGATAAAATGTAATTTAATTTATTTCAATTAGAATATTTCTTAAGGTGTAGTTATCTGATGTGTATTGAAATATGCTTCAGTGAGGTATATTTTAATCACAGGGGAGGATATTGTATTGAATCATGGGGATATGTAAGCGATATTTGATATTTTAGCACCAAAATATAACTCATTTGCGTCTGTTTTTACCAATTGTAGCACCAGATGCTTAACCAATCTAAGCGCCAACTTAGATTATCTTGCCTAATTTAATGACAGACATTTTATCCATTTTCACTTATTTATAGAATAAAATAGTAGAACAATAAGTTTTAATGTTATACATGTATAAAAGCATAGTATTAAATTGTTATATATCATTAATATGCGGTTAAAAAGGTTTGAATATTTTGCACATTGACATATATCATATAAAGCATACACTAGTAAAATGACAACTTTCAATGTCAGAACTACATAAAATAAAAAATAGTCAAATAGTCTGAATATTTTGCATAAAAAATATTTTAGCTCATATACAAATGTTAAATGAACAATTTTGATTTCAAACATCATACTATTAGAAACTAATATTTCTTTGAAGGGGTATTACCTGTCAAATTCATGTTCATCGATTTGTCTCAAATTCTCATATATACTTGATTTATGGCACACTAAAACGGATATCCAAATTGTAAAACGTCTAAAATGAATATTTTATGATTCATGTACTCAACAATATGTATCAGCATTTCGTGTGTATTTTAGTCTAGACACCATAAAATTCACCATTTAGGTGACCTCCCAAGAATGCGGACGGTCATCAGGTCATATAACCCAAAATAAACATAAATATAGATATAAGTAGATAGCGAACATGTGCAATTGGATTTTTGTTTACGTCTGTTTGGCTTCATATTATAGGTTAAAAAAATATGTTAACCTGTCAACCTCTGAAACTGAAAATGCAGGTCATAATGCGTACAAACTTTTTCTGTCCGTAGCAGAGGGGGCATTAAGTTTTACCCTTGTCTGGCTGTACGTCCGTCCGTACGTCCCAAAATTGGTTTCCGTTCTCTAACTTTAGTTTACCTCAACCAAATGTTATGAAACTTATCCATAATGCTTATTACCACAAAACACAGATCGAGTTTCAATTTTGGTGGCGTCACTTTTACCATTCTAGAGTTATGCCCCTTTAGGAATAGAAAAATTGCTGAATTTTTTGTTTCCATTCTCTAACTTGAGTTTGCCTCAACCAAATGTTATGAAACTTTGACACAATGCTTATTACCGCAAAACACAGATCACGTTTGAATTTGGGGGTGTCACTTCTACTGTTCTACAGTTATGCCCCTTTACAAATGGAAAAATTGCTGATTTTTTTGTTTCTGTTCTCTAACTTGAGTTTGCCTCAACCAAATGTTATGAAACTTTGACACAATGCTTATTACCGCAAAACACAGATCACGTTTGAATTTGGGGGTGTCACTTCTACTGTTCTACAGTTATGCCCCTTTACAAATGGAAAAATTGCTGATTTTTTTGTTTCTGTTCTCTAACTTGAGTTTGCCTCAACCAAATGTTATGAAACTTTGACACAATGCTTATAACCACAAAACACGGATCAAGTTTGAAGTTTGGTGGTGTCACTTTACCGTTCTAGAGTTAAGCCCCTTTACAAAGTGAAAAATTGCTAAAATATTTGTTTTTGTTCTCGATCTAACAAGTTTACCTCAATTAAATGTTATGAAACTTATAAACAATGCTTATTACCACAAAACTCAGATCAAGTACAAATTTGGGTAGCGTCACTTTTACAGTTCTTGAGTTATGGCCCTTTATAACGTTATATGCAAGCGGGGGCATTATCTGTGTCCCATGGACCCATTCCCCATTTATTTTAATATACTATAACATATGCATATACCACTGAGCTTCCTAAAAATAATCACTTTTGTATTTGTTAAGTATATAAATTTTTGTCATTAATTTAATATCTTTCTAAAGCAATGCCCTTTTATTTTTTTATTCACACTAGTTTACTTAATGAATGTCATAAACCCCAGCTAATCAATTATTGCTAATGTGCTCCTTTACACAGGAGGAAGAGAAATAGAAAGAAGTTATTGTGTTTCCTTTCAGTGTAATATCTAGAGCATATGGATTTAATTTAAAGCTGACAAAATTATTCTCTCCAACAGAAAGAACATTTAAATTGTCTCTAACCAAAGTTTTCCTTTAAATGAACTTTCGGAAATGCTGGTGGATTACTCTGGTGTTATATTGTCGTTGCTAAAATGTCATCATAAGTTGTTTTGAATGTTTTAATCAAATGTATTATACCAGCAAATTCAGTAGCTAGCTGCATCATATTTAGCAAGGTACATGTTCACAATGCTACGCCTGCTTTCTTGTATATTAGTCCATTGATGTATTGTTGCTCTCTGGTGTGAGTTGAACGTTTCCTTACAGTTATGTCATTATTACAAGAGTTGGATTATTTATATTTCTAGATGTTGGTCATTTGATATATTCACTAAATACCTACTGGCAACTTCATGAAGCTAAATGTAACATCAATGTTTTTTTTTACGGTAGATGAGATATGGTATGACGTTACAATACGACAAACGTCCAAGTCCTCAACATTATTATCATGGTTCAATGTTTTTTTTTTTAAATCAACATGCTAAAGTTTTTATTCTTACGCCAGTTTCTCAAAGTCCAACATATAATACTACCAGGTAATTATTTTCGTTGATTTCATAATCAATAAATTGAGTATAAGTGTATGGATGTGTAAGACATTTTACCAACAGGTTCCATACCACGATAGGAGGGTTGGGATTGATATTGGCTTTTATTGTTACAGCTATTTTGTAATTAGGGGCCAAAAACAATTATTTGTCTGGTTTTAAACGGGCACTAGATACGAGATATATCAAAAATCTAAAGTATGATTTTCTTTTTTGTTCAATCATTAATGAAAGTAAAGTAGTGAAGTGAAAATTCGCTTTTAGCAGCCAGCATGGTTCAATTTTGTCAAATTATGCTAAGAAACATTGATGATGAATTATTCACTTGCAAGTGAATAATTTGACGTCATTGAATCCTTATATTACTCATATGAACTTCAATTTAACCCCTTAGCAATAGCTAGAGATGGATAACGCATGAATTGTGCATGTTCGGTTATTTAAAGGAAAAGAATGTCAACAATGAAAGTGAAACATAGGTATATCATCTGACTGACTGATTCGATCCTCAAAAAATCATTCTTATACAGGTAAAACCGATGATCAACATATATTTTTAATCTAAAATATGAAATTAAACAAACCTAGAAAAATCCAATTGCACGCGTTCGCTTTCTAATTATATATATATTTATGTTTATATCGCTTATATGACCATCAGAGTTCTCCGGAGGTCAACTCGATAGTTAATTAGATGGCGTTAAGACTAAATAACACACGAAACGAAGCTACATATTATCGAGCCCATGCCCTGTAGGTTATTTATTTAAGACTTTTTATAGTTTGGATACATGTTTTACATGGTTATATGTCAAATATGAGAATTTGAGTCAAATCGGTGAACATGAATTTGACAGCTAGTGC